ATATCACGACCACCTGTGCGTTATCCAGCCCACCTGGCCCGTCCCGGACGCTGCCATCTCTCTTTCTGGGAGTTTAGACAATGTTACCCTTGGATTTTTTTTCACTCTGTTGATTTCTCCCTTTGGTTTGGTGAGGGTTGACTGGGTATTTGGGAGGGTGTGGGGAGGGATAAATGGGTTTATAACCTGATGATTTTCTTTAGGAAAAGCTTTTAGGGAAAGGAAAATGGGTGGGGGTGGGAGTGGTAAGGGGAGACTGGGGAGTCGGTTTCAGACAGTTCTCTATGCTTAACTTATTTATTTATTGCATTTTACTTTTAAAGAGTTGGTCTTTTCTGTCTAAATAAAGAAAGTTTAAAAGCATCAAATAAAGAGTCTTGGAAGGCTGAGGGTAGGGGTTGTTCACACTGGGGCTGGGGAGGGAGGGAAGTAAAGTCAGGTTTGTAGAGGAGATTCTCTGGGGGGCCCTACCCTTGCTGTCGAGCAGTATCCAGCACTTGCTCGTGGCTTCATGATCTTATTCTGCTTATCTTTGGGACTTCATTCTGGAATGTTCTGCAGAGTTAGGCTGAGGGGGAAGAGCTTGTAGGCAGCCCTCTTCCAGTATCCACTCATGTCCCTCGGAAGGCTGGAGCCTTGATGTCTACATTCTGAAGCATTTCTGCATGCAGGCCAGTGGGGATACCTGGCTGGCTGTAATCCCATCACGTATTAGCCACTGCTGTATATGAGATCTGTTCTAGGTCTTTTAACATCTCTACACTTAACCTCACAAAAGCCCTGTAGGGCAGGATATAACTGTATAGATAGGGAAAAGGAGGCTTTGACAGCTGTCCAACTTACCCTGTTACAAAACCAGTATGGAAGCGAGTGCTGGAGGAGTTGAGCCCAGTTTGCCTGGTTACAAGGCCCATAAGGTTGCCATCTCACCTGTCCTCTGACTGGAGACAAAAGTCCTAAGGAGTACCAAGCAGGCGATAGCAGTGATCCCCATCAGGTAGAAGGCAGACTGCCAGGACCCAATGGTCTCTAGATTCTTCTCTGTGAACTGCTTTAGGGCTGGATTTAGGAGCACACAGGTGGATTCTCTGACTTCACAGAGCACAGGCCACTTGCTTGTTAGTAGCTACTTACTACCCTAACCTTCTCAGAAGCTTGTCACCTTCTAGCTCTGATCTGGCCTCAGGCCACTTATTCACAAAAACATAGCCACCAGTTCCAACTCACCCCACTTCTGCCCCATACCTCTGTCTCCTCTTAGAATTTCCTGTAGTTTAAAAGAGAAGCAAAATGTGAAGTACTATGGAGATGTATGTATGGACAGTTTGTGGAGGGAGGGGACAACTCTTGGATTGGTAGAAATCAGGAACGAGACTCATTCAGGAGAACCCACCCAGGATTCTTTGCCAAATACAAAGCATCTGAAATTGAGAGAGAAGCCTGTGTACAGGTCAGAGATGGGAAGTGTGTAGAGGTGGCAGCAAAGGGTTTGGTATTAATTATCAGGAACTTCCCTTGAGATGTCTGTTTCACAACAGTCTGAGTCAAAAAACAAAGACATGGTTTTAGACTGAGAGCATCTCCCAGACTGGCTTACTGTGAGTGAACAAGCATCAAGTGTCTTCCTCTTTGATATCTTTCCAAACCTTAGGCAGCTGAGGTATGGCAGCCCCCACACAAATATTAACAGCTACCTTCCTTGTCTGTTTCTTTTGTAATAATCAAGCTATGCTCAAATGTTAATGGTAGCGTAGAGAAGGAAAATGGCTTCTTTGAGGCAGAAGGAGGAGTTGCTAAGTTAAAAGCAGGGATAGAGGAAGATTTTCAATTGTAAAACCAAAACCAAAAATATCCTTAGTCAGGGAGACCAAAGTGATGAGAACATGGCAGCAGAGGAAAAAGCCCTAAGAATTATTCCTTCAATGTGTTTTCTTTCTCTTTCCTATACTTACAGCTTTCACATGTGTACATATAATGGGAGGTGTCTCCATCTCCTTCGGCTTGGGCCCTGCTGGCTTGACAGGCATGGCCTGACCTAGTGGGTTCCCTGTGACTTTATTTCTCTTGATAAAATTTCAAAACTTCTCATAACCTTGGTTTCTAGTGTTTGTGACTAAAGCAGTTACCGCTCAGGGTCACACCTTGTTCTCTTTTCCAGTTCTGAGAACCTTAATAGCTCTGACCCAGCTCCTGGCTCTCATAAATCCTCACATTCTGGTCTCTCTCTCATTCTACTTCACCAAGGAGTCAGCTTCCTCTTGTTCTCTAAGTGGAGTTTCCTACCAATGTACTGCATTCTCTCACCTTCTGGATAAAAATGACTCCCAGCAATGTATTACTAGCCTAATTTTTCTTGTATGCTAAACTGCAGAATTACCTTTTCTTAGTCTTCCTTGTCTTCTTAGTCCTCCTCAGCACTGCATACCACTCAACCCCCAGTTGGATTACACCCTCTCCCTCCCACATCTCAACCCTAACCCAACCCAGCTGCAAAGCCCTACTGTGTCTTCATCTGCAGCGTTCTTAGTCAGCTCTAACAGCTCACACCAGGCTGCTGCCTGTCCACACATCCCACTGCCCCCAGCCTCCCCAGGCCGCAGCAGCCTCAGCTGTCTCATTCATTTCTTCTTCTGCTCTCCTACAACCTATTTGCCAAAGAAGCTGGAGTTATCTGTAAAAGTTAATTTACTGATATTTATTGGTTACCTCCTCTGCCTTGGCCAGCAGAGCCCAACACACTACAAGTTACTTAAATGATTAAGAAACGGCCACTGGATGTCTAGACTGGATGGTACAGATGAAGCCTGTGCCGAAACCAGAAGAGTCTAAAACCAAAATCCTTTCTCCCCTCAAATCAATCTCTGTCTGTCTCTCTCTCTCTGTTTCTCTCTCTCAGGGGACACTCTTGGGATCTTGTCCTTGCCAGGCAGCTGCTTATGTATTATCTCAATTTTTTTTCTTTGTATTTTAGGGAAGGGTCTACCGAGTGTTAGGGTCTCACTACTAGATGGGACTGGTAGTGATCCGCCTGTTTTCAGCCTCCCAAGAGCTGGGATTATAGGTGTACGCCATTACGCCCAGTCTCACTCCCCTTCTCAGTGAGCCCCGGGGGCAGGGATCAAACCCCCAGCCCCTGCGCCTGCTTGCAGGTGTTTTAATCCACTGAGCTATTTGGCTGGCCCAAAATCTCAATTCTTAGCTATTTTGTTTTACTCCTCTCACATAAATTCAGTGTCATTTTTACTTCCACAGCTATTCTCATATCCATTTCCTTCTTCTCAATCCTCACTGCTTCTACTTACTAACTGAATAATCATAGCAGTCTAATTGACCTTTCTGTTCTGTAGTCTGAAACATTAATCTTTTTAAATTGCACCTGATAAAAATCCTTTTCTGCTGCTTCCTCTAAAGTAGAGCACTTCCCTGGCATCAAATTTCTTTGAGCCTCACTTTTCTCTTCATCCCTACACATGGCCTAAGTTCTACTTGAATAGGACCATTCATTTTTCCCTGGACAAGGCAGATCCTTTCCACCTGTGTCTTTTCTGTTCCCATTACTACAATGCCTGGCAAACTGACTCAGTATTAGATGGCCTGCTTGCTGAAATCCCGCTCATGTTAAGCAATTCACCTTAAACACTGTACTACTTTCTTCAAGATTTTCTTCATGCCCTTGCTGTAGGTCTCCCTCCCTCCTTTTCTTTCAGCGCTTTCAGCCCTGAACCTTCCACTGCTGCTTATCACAAATGTGTCTCCTTCTGTGAGACTAGAAGTGAGCAGAATGTTTCCTTTGCTTGTGTATCTGTGGCAGTATCTAACACAATGCCTCATACACGGTAAATAATAAATTTTTTTTTTAACATTTATTTATTGTGTGTGTGTGTGTGTGTGTGTGTGTGTGTGGCCAGCTCAGCCCACCAGGGGGCGCAGCTGGCTGGCATGTGGTGCTGGGGGATCGAACCGTGGTCCCTGTACTTTGCCAAGCTTGTTCCAAGTAGGTGCTTTAGACCACTGAGCCATCTCTCCAGCCCAATAATAAATGTTTCTGACTTTAACTTCTGTAGCTGTGATTCTATACTTCTATTTTCTATTTCTCTATGGATTCTTTCCTTGCTAAAGAAAAAAATTTCCTATAGCATAGTAGTGTTTATCAGATTCCAATATTCAATGCTAGCAGCTGGGTAGATGAGGCCGTGAATAAAGTCTCTCCTCTAAATGCCAAAGAAAATGTCAAACTGATTCTTGCTCTTATGGTTATCAACTAAGGAACAAAACTACATCAATTGGGGGTTATAAAAATAGTAAGAATGTGAAGATTTATAAAAACAATTTTAAAATGTCTGATCTACTACATGTTTTTCAGATTCTGTCTATAAAGCACAGGGAGAGGGATGTAAATAGGGACTCCCTCTGTAAAAGTGAAGGGAAGTAGAGGGACCACCCTTATTATTAGGGTGGGGATAATACCCACCAAGCATCTAGTAGCATCAAAGTGGGGATAATACCCACCAAGCATCTAGTAGCATCCGGGCATTCATTAGGGGTGACATGTTTTCACTTTCAGATCTCCAAGAGAAAGTTTCCTGAGTTACTAAAAAGTGAAAAAGCACCTAGGTGTTGCTGAGAGGACAAGTCTCAAGGGCTCTTCTAGGCTTTATCTGTATTCAGCTGGGAAAGGAGTCCTGTGACTAAAAGGATTCTGTGCCTGCTGACAGCCAGGAGAGACAAGCTCCATCAACTCTGAGAGCTGGGGGAGAAGAAAGAATTTCAAAGAAGCTACCACAAGCAGAGCTGAAAGCCAGGGGCCTGCCTATTTCTCCTTGCCCTGTCCTTCCCTATCTCCTGCCCTCCAAAGACTGCCCCACTAGCTACTAGGAAAACTGCATAAATAAATGCTCCTTCTCATTTTCAAGTTGACAGTTCTAACTCAAACCTCAAAAGGTCCTCTTTACTTCTTCCCACACACCCCAAAGGACTTGTAGTCTAGGAAACAAAAGAACTGTTTCATCAATAAATCAATTTATTTAAAAGAATATGTTACAATTAATTACACTAAATGACGTTACCAAACAATTTTTGGAGTGGTTAGCTCTAGAACAAGGAATGAAAGAAACACTGTTAGCCATTATATGTCTGTGTATTTTCTCTTCACATTTCTTAATCACAAATAAAAAATACAAGATACTGGAGTGAAAATACAACTAGAATTTCTCTCAAATAAATTAAAAGTGTGCATGACCTGGGAAAAACCAAAGCCCAGCTCACCAGCTTAAAAGGGGGCATGACAGAAAATTGCTAAGTTTAGCAGTTGGCCAAGTGCCTCACCCTACATCATTCCTCTCTTCAGTTCTGTTCCTCCCAGAGCCTAACTTTCAATACATCCAGGGTTACCGCTGAGGAATGAACTACTGTTGTACTGGCATGATCTGGTCAGGGTTAGGGGAGAGAACAGCAGGCTGAGCCGGAAGATGAGGGCCACAGAAGCACTCCCACTGCCTGCATTTTTCCTCCTTCCTTCTCTGGGTAGTAATCAGCCATACATCCCCTTCAAAAGGAAGTTAGTGTGACCCAATGAAGCTGGTGAAGGAACAGCAGTATGCAGAGGTCTTCCACTACATCAGTCCAGCCAGCCAGTGTAATGGACAGAGAGGAGGGCACAGTCATCCTCCAGGCCTGGAGACTGCAGGTCACCTGGCAAGCAGTTCCCTTTAAGAAAATTGCTTCTCAGGAGCCAGGCCCCTAGTTGGCAAATTTGAGATAAGACAGAGGTCATCTGCCACACCTCCTGTCAGTGCCCTGGTTGCTGGGTTCTGAGCTACAAGAGATAACCCAGAGTCACTGGCCCAGGTAACTAAAAGATGAAACAAAATAGGCCAGCATGAGGACACTGGAATATTTATCTAATTCCTCACTGAAAGCTCTGTCCAGGCCTACAGGACCCTGAGCACATATTTGTACCTGTGTAGAGTTTAGGCTTAGGGAGGCCAGAAAGGTAAGAATCAAGTAAAAAATATGAAAAGCAGAAAGCTCAAACTATGGCCCAAGGGAACCTTTCTATTGGGACAGGCTCCTTAGGGGCTCAACTTTCTCTTGTTTCATAAAAACTCTAAGCTTTTGCCCCATGGGACAGAAGTCCAGTGTGGATGGGATGACAGTGAGAAAACAGGAAGATCCTTCTGACTTTGTTGGAATGAAGCTGAGGGTGAGGTGGGTTCTCTTTTTTCAGAGTCTGTAAAAGATGACTGGGCAGATGCCTCCTTGGGCAGAAGCTGGGACTAAGGAAAGGAGGGATTACAGAAACAAAGTACAAGGGATAAGGGGGAAGTGGAATCATACCTAACACTGCTTCATGCAAAGAAGAGCTTGATCCTAGGACCTCTGCTGCCACAATGACTTATGCCTCCACTGCTGGAGGCCTGATGTGAGAAAGGAGAAGGCACCATCCTACGGGGTCTCCCTCCTTGCTGCAGCTGGGTGCTTAGTGGCATGGCTTCCAGTAGAAGCCTGTCCTAGGTTTCTACTAGGCCAACTATTACGGGGTCCCTTACGCAACCTCCAAACACCCAAGTGGATACTATGTAAGAAAAGGAACACAGCACAATGTATCCACTCTAGGGGCCTCCTGTGTCTCATATCCAGAGGCCAACATTTGGTCTGTCACTGCAGACTCTAGGACTTGTTCATTCATCTCTCACTATGACAGTGTGGGGATGCATTGCTGCTGTTTTTATAGTCTGAACATGTCAAAAGACTCTTTAGCATCTTGGACTGGGAAATCAACCTCTCTTCTTTTTAAGATCCTTTGGCTCATTATTAAATTCATTTAAACCGAAAAAAGGAGTTGAGCCTGTACTAAATAAAGCCTTCAAAGCAGGGATTGCCCTCTCCAATGTTAAACATTGAACATTCTAGTGTTTTAAAATCTGTGATTCTTCTTAGATTGGACTTGGAGAAGTGAGGAGGCTAGGATGTTTTATACAAGTTTATGCCTCCCTGGGAGCCTACAGCCACTAGGATAACAGTGAGAAAGAAAGAAAAATGGCCTCATAATGATCTACAAAACAAGTCACAAAGCAGAAACTTCAAACCACCCCAACACTGCTCAGTGGAACTGACTATAACCAATTCTGACTGCCTCTAAACTAGACAAGGCAGAAGATATCTTGAGAAAAAACCTATGGAAGTTCTCTTTAGAAATTGAAAGGGAGAGAAAAAAATACTCAAAAATGTTTGAAGATGTTTCAGTTGCTCCTGAGCGAGACTTAGGGCTCCTCACGTAACGGGTATAGAGCACAAAGGCTGGGAACATTGTCTTACGCATCAGCCCTGGTCTCTGATCCTGGGATGTAGCTTGTAGGTCACAAAAGTTCTAATTGCAAGGTCAGACAAGCAGCTCCTTGAGAAATACAAAAGTTTTCCTTCAGTCTTAAAAGGTAGAGATGTGGCTTAAACTGACCATATTCCCACTCCTTCCTGGGTCCTCAGCTGGTGTGGACAAGGCTATGGTTTGGTTGGCACAGACCATAGACCTATTCTAAGTTTCCCTACCATCTTGAAGATACTGTTAGGTCCCTTCCCAACACTGCTTTTTTAGGATGTGACAGACAATATAATAGTTATGGCTGTTACTGTTCAGGAATGGGGTAGGTAAAGCCTTATGTACACAGGGTATCGCTTCTTTTCCCTCAGCAAATCCAACCTTTATGCCTAAGGTATCAAGCTTTACTCTGGTCCCTAATGCCACCCCTGCTGTAGAAAAGGCAAGATCAGCAATTACTACCATGAAATGTTTTGGGTTCCTGTAGCATCAAGTCTGCTCTGAGCAGCTGAGGAAAAGCACACCAGAGGGCCCGAGGAAGCAGGAAGGAGGTATGGAATGGGCCAGAAAGCCATGAGTGAGAGAGGTGGGCTAGGAAACGGTCTTGGAATCAAGAGACCACACCAGGTCTTCAGACTCTCTGCAGATCGCAGCCTTGTGCCTGTGAAACACACACCTGTTTCTCCTCCCAGTGCCCTCTTGGAAGATAAAGATACTACACTCCTTGCTCCTCAGACTCGACAGCAACCCATGAGCCAGAAATTGCACTCAATACAAAAAAGGGGGGAGAAACCAAGCAGGTTGTAAACTTTTCGAGTCCTTCATGAGGAGAGGTATTTTTCCTGTAATTTTTTTTTCCTTTTTAAAGTTTGTTTCAAAATAAAGAGAATGAGAGAGGTCATGAATTCTAGTGAAAGGTGTGTAAAAACACAAGCTAAAAAAGGTACTGCCATCAATATGAAATTTAAAAAGAAATATATATATGTATATACGTGCAGCTAATTTGTGTATATATAATTTTTTACATACATACATATATATGTCTGAACAGTGCAAACGGATGAAGTTCATAGTTCCAGTTTTAAAAATATAGTACAAGGAGTGTCGTTGGTATGAGGCCCAGGTGAAAGAACAAAGATACCTTCAGCGAGTTGGTTGGGCTTATTTCTTTTCCTGTCTTATCTCAGTGGATTTCTGATACTGACCAATCTGTTTTTCTCTACTAGCTCAATTTCAGAGGGAGTTATTAATAATATTTAGTTTAGGGCTTCTGAATGTAATGACTTTTCCTTTATCTTTTGTGTTAACGGTTACTTTGTCTGACAAGGGTGATGAAAGGGATAAGAGGATGAAGGCGAGAAGGGAAGGGGATAAGGAAAGGCTAGGTAGCCACATCCCTCTGCTGTGACCTCGCCATCTGGAAAATGTTCTGAAAGGGAAAAAAAAATAAAGAAAGTAAGAGTTATTGGGAAGCCATATCTCCTCTAATGTGGAGACAATCCTCAAACAGAAGCTAAAGTGGTATGATTGCATGACCCTATCTGGCTGGCCTGTTCCCCTCACTGTACTTCCTATCAAGAATCATAATAGCCTTTTAGAGTGGGAAGGACTTTGAACATTAATCACCCAGCTAAGCTTTCCTGTTTCACAGGAGAGAAAAGTCAGATTTCACTTTTGTTGTTGTTGTTGTTGTGGAACTGGGGATTGAACTCAGGCCCTTGTACTTACCAGGCAAGTGTTTATTCTACTGAGCCATCTCCCTGGCCCAAAAAGTCAGACTTAAGGAGACTGATTTAGCCAAAACCGTAGAGCTACAAGGAAACAGATCTGACTCCCAGAGCTCAGTTTTCTTTGTACCATACTAAAAGTATAAATTTTCATGTTCCTGACTTTACCTCCTTTTTTATTTAATTAAATTAATTAATTAATTTTTTGTGGAACCAGGCTGACTTCACCTCTTGATCTACTGATTTTCTTTGATAACAAACACCTAATTATTTACAATCTTCTAAATTCTGTTCCAGCATAGACATATCATAGCAAAAACTTTCCCCTGCATACACATTCTTGGTTAGTCTAGAGCAGTGATGGTGACCATTTTACAGATTTCAATGATACAAACAGGCCTGCTGTTTCATGCATGCCATAGGTTTGCCATCATTAGTCTAGAAGGACTCTGTCATGACCCATCCAGTCAGATAGCTAAAACTGAGGGAGAACAGAGACCCAAACAAACCCAAACAAACAAAACCACCCAAGAACAACAGAAGAGAGTCCACAAAATCATGAGGATGGAAGAGCCTGTAGCCAAAGTACACCCTCTAGACAAGAAAAGAAGCTGGCTCTTTTGCATAGCCCATTTCACCATCCAGAAGTCAGCCCCGCTGGAAGAATGTCCTGGCTCACTTGGGATAACCAGACTCTAACTAATATTCCTAGAAAGACAGAAATGGAGGTGAGGGTCCCAGGTATTTGGCAATGGGTCTATAAATTACAAGATGAAGAAGTTAATTCAAGAAGTCTTTAAAATTACCTCTTTTCTCCACTTGAGCTCGCAGAACACCCTCTCGAAGCACTCATGCATGTAATTAAACTGAGGGGAGAAAAAGTAGCAATACTCACTGACTTCTCAAGACCAGGCACCATAGGGCCATGTCTTTGAACTCCTGCCAGATCAGCCCTTCTTCCAAACCCACACAGACTAGAAAGAATGTTGACAAGTTTCACAAAACTCAGATCTGGTCATCTATTGCTCTCTAGCTCTGTCTAGTGGTAATTATAAGTCAAGCAGCATGCGAAATTGCCAATCCTAGGTAATGAACCTAAAGGAAAAGGGATGAAGCTGGGCACCTGGATTCAAACAGGTTCTGACCTCAAGAAAGGCACATCTCTCTGTCTCTATGTATTTAGCTTTTTTAAAAAGTTGAAGTTCAATCTACTTTCCCCAAGTATCCCTCTTCATGCCCTACTCACATAAGGTGTGAAGATTTTAACCCATCGGGGCTTCTTTTCTCCTCGTGCATATTCAAAACAGAAGGCCATTCCTTCTTCATCTGTGTCCCACCGCTGCATCTCATTCCATTCAAATGCTATGACCTGGTTCTGAAAAACCAAGAGTAAGAGAGTTGGAGAGTGCTGGGGAGCTTAGTAGACAAGGTGGTTCTGAGCCGGGCAGCAGAAGATAAATGAAACATCTGCACCAGTTCTGGGAAAGGACTGGAAAAAGGGTAAAAGTGGAAGCAGCCAGTAAATTTGAGCATCAGGTCAGTTTGGACCCAGTGCTTTTTACTTCAGTGAAAATATAGTTTGAAGGGCTGGGGAGATGGCTCAGTAGAATAAGCGCTTCCCTGGCAAGCACAAGGGCCTGAGCCCGAAAAAGGAGGAACTGAGACACAGCAAATGAATGAGCACCATAGCATCCACTTGCAATGCTCCTTCCCAGCCCCGCACTGAACTCTCACCTCCAGCTGTCCTTCCTCAGTGCAGGCATGCAGTTTAAAGTGCGTGATGCTGATGGCTGTGATAACGTGCCCCTTCCTCCTGGAATCACAGGCACAGTGGGGGAAGATGATTTCATTGTAGCCTTCACAAGTCCTTAGCATGTTGAGGTACTAGGGGAAAAGGAAGGGGAAACAGTATTACTAGGAATTACAGCAACTGGAGAGCTGAGATGTACCAGTGTACTGTACTCTCATTCAATCACCTGATGACTTTGCTTCTGGTCTCACGCTTAGCCCCAAGGTGGCACAGGACCCATACCTGTTCCCAGCACCTGCCTTCATAATTCCAATCTGTATTTATCTACTTACACAAGATACATAAATGAAAGATATTGTAATCCAATGTGATCCAGACCCACAGATCTAGAAAGGGCCTTACAACAGTATTTAGTCTGGTCTTCTCTTTTCACTGCACCTCAGAGATGAGCATCTAATCTATGCTTACAGTTAACAAAGAAAGATAATGCTTTACCTCAGCTACTCTCCAACCAAAAGTTACAATGATCTCAGTGATAAAAGGCTAAATTACTCATTTCATACCTGTAAAATGTTAAAACTGAAATGAAACGGAAATGAATTTACAAATTAGTCATCTTACAATCACCAAGAATAAGAAGACTATCTTGAGATCATAGGTAAGCATAACGGGCATATCCAGGGTTGTAACCAGGGTTTAATTTCTAGACCCCTGCTCCATCATTGGCCCCCAAATCAGCTGGGTCTCTCATTTGTATGGCTCCTTAAAAAGTGGAAAAACAAAACCAAGAAGCATGTATGAATGGCCACAGGTACAAACTATGAACCTAACCTAGCGGTGGCACTGAAATACTGATGCTAACTCCACAGGCAGAGCAGACCTCTCCTGATTCAACTCACTATTCTGAGTTGAGAGGAGAGTGTGTAAAACATGAGTAAAAGAACAATAATAAAAGGAAAATCAAGGGGAAAGAGTCATGATCTGTGCCCTGGTTTTCTTTCAGGGCCAAGGTAAGGAAACAGGAGAACAGCCTTGAGCTCCACACCAGGTGTATGACACACAAGAAGAGCGGGGACACAGCACAGCAGTAATCTTCAATCAGACAGCAGTGAGGTTAGAATATACCTGAAAGTCACGCTCTGCATTACCAATGGAGAAAAGAAAGGACACTGGCCACCTAGGATCTGCTACTGATGAGTGGCACTTAAAACCACAGCTACTGCCACTAGAAACAGAAGACTTCAGGGCTAATCAGGGGATCATCATGTATTTGTTCTCTTTTCTACTTTATATTTCTGCTTTGGTAAAATAATAGCAACTGTAAGGGGAAAATTTTATTTTATTTTTTATTTTTTTGGCAGAACCGGGGATTGAACTCAGACCCTTGCACTTGCCAGGCAAGCACTTATTCTACTGAGCCATCTCCCCGGCCCCTTGTAAGGGGAAAATTTTACGGGAAAAGCAAGAATACAGACAGGATAATAAAGTAAGGAGGGCCACCATACTCCACTCATACTGTTTTTCCTCTCATTTCTCCCTCACTGTACTCTAACTCCCCTTTATGTTCTACGGATTTTTTTTTTTTTTTTTTTTTTTTTTTGTATTGGGAATCAAACTTAGGACCTTGTGCTTGCCAGGCAGGTGCTTGTGCCACTGAGCCATATTTCTGGCCCAATATTTTTGTTTTGAGACAGAGTCTTGATATATAGTCCAGGCTGGTTTTGAACTTGCTACATAGTCCAAGCTTGTTTGGCACTTTTGATCCTCCTCCCTCAGCCTCCTGAGTGCTGGGATTATAGGGGTACACCACCACTCCTGACAATCATGTTGTTTGTAAAATACAATTTTTTTTTTTTCTGGACCAGGGATTGAACTCAGGCCCTTGCGCTTGCCAGGGAAGCGCTGATTCTACTGAGCCATCTCCCTGGCCCCCAGTAAAATACAATTCCTT